CCAGCTTGTTTGCTAGATCTCAGCAATACTCCTTAGTGTTCTCTATTTCCGGCTATCCCCAGAGATGTGCATCACATACAATGATAAACCAAGTTGGCCATAGTTAACACCTAGCATCCTCCATGAAGGTAGAATCATGAGTCCACCTTCCCACTGCCGATGGTGCTGAGTCCACAGGACCAGGTGTAGCGAGGTGATTTTTGTTGGCACCCAAACTCTAGCTGAGAGAATTACTCTCATTTGGAGTTATTCCCTGATAATCACTGACAGAATTGAGAGCCCCAGGGGCTGAGAGCGGTATTTTAAAGAGAGCTCAATTGCTGAGTATCCTGTAGATAAATGAAGGTTGGAAAGAAGAGAACAGAGGAGAGGAAAGGGTGGGGAGGAGGAGGAAGCTAAGGGAAGGATGCTGAGACTGGATGCTGCTGTGTGGAAGTGTTTTGTGAGTCTTGTGGAGACATTGAAGGGGCAGAGCTTCACATCTCAATTATGTGGAACCTGAAATTGAAGACTGGGAGAGCTGTGAGAACTTAAGTTTCTAGGAAATCAGAGAAATCTTTAAAAGGGCTTTGAATTGCGCAGACCATGGAAATAGGAATTAGAAGGAAATCTTACTCGGATCTCAAGGGTCGGAAGAGGTTCCAACTAGTATCTGGTAACACAAATTTCACACCTACTCTGAGGGATAGGTGGCGGTGGTGGTGGTAACTTTCCAAGAAAAATCTGCAGATAAAACACTGCCTCCTACAGAACCACATTTTTCATTGCCATACAGTGCAGTTTAATTCCTTGGAGCACAGACACCTTAAGTTTCTGTTCTTGAGGCCTCTATATTTATAAAACTGTGTGGCCCATTCAAGTGGTTTTCCTCGTAAAAGGAACAGTCTGCCCCCCAAAAGGTTACTGGTTCTTGCAAAACTGGATTCTACTTGTAGTTAATTGGAAAGAAACATAAGAAACCTTTGGTAGTTGTTTCTAGGGAATGAAATGGAGGCAGGTTGGGGGGCAAACTGTTAAGGGATATTTAATTTCTTCTTTACATCCTTATGAGCGGTCTGAATTTTTTTAGCATGAACTTGCATTACTATTAATGTTTTGTAAAAAGGCCCATGTATTCATTAAAAAGAATGGAGTACAGATAGATGGAAATGAATTTATAAAATATGTTGCTAATGGTAAAGGAAGCTGCATCAAAACATATAGTAAATATCATTTATGTAAAATAGTTGATATCAGAAAATAGACATTTTATCCACTGGAATTCTCTGAGGAATGGTGGGCAGGGCTGCTCCTTGCAAGAGAAGCAGTGAATTTGAGAGGCAGGGACTCCCAAGATGGTGATGGAGGGCAGATATTAAGGAAAAAGTTTAGTCTTTATTATAAAATTTCCTTTATTTTTTTTAATTTATAATTTTATTTATTTATTTATTTATTTTCCCCCAAAGCCCCAGTAGATAGTTGTATGTCATAGCTTCACATCCTTCTAGTTGCTGTATGTGGGATGTGGCCTCAGCATGGCCAGAGAAGCGGTGCGTCGGTGCGCACCCGGGATCCGAACCCCGCGCCGCCAGCAGCGGAGTGCGCGCACTTAACCGCTAAGCCATGGGGCCGGCCCTAAAATTTCCTTTAAATCCTATAAAGTTCTGAATTGTGTTAATTTTTACAGTATTGCTTTTAAAATTTTATTTTTTTAGATTATAGAAAAAAACAATTTGCAGTTTTTAATTGGCAGCGAAGTTTTTTCTCTGTGTTTTTGTTTTTGGAGAACTGGGGAAAGGTAGCAGCAACCACCTTCCCCACCAAGACTTCAAACACCTTAAGGTCAAGTTTCAGCCAGAACCCAAGTTTAAGATCTTGTGTTTCCCTCCCTCCCCACAGTCTCTGCAGCCAAAAGCTGCTCAAACCATAGGATCTAAAAGCCGTGCTTAGCCCTGGTTTTATGACAGCAGGAAATCAGCTTTAGCCAACATGTAAGATACAATATATAACCAGTAGGAGTTCTCCAACAAGAAAGCAAAGGGAAGATTTATTAAAGAAATTATATAAAAACATTTCCCTGGATAGAAAGGGCCTACTGATATGTATCCCACCATATGGGGGGGAAACCCCACTCATACTAAGGCATATGATTGTGACATTTCAGATATGAAGATAGGATAAACATTTTCATATATTCAAGAATTTAGAAACATTCCTGGGGCCAGCCCGGTGGCGCAAACGGTTAAGTGCGCGCGCTCTGCAGCGGCCCAGGGTTCACAGGTTCGGATCCCGGGCACGCACGGACACACCGCTTGTTAAGCCGTGCTGTGGCGGCGTCCCATATAAAGTAGAGGAAGATGGCCATGGATGTTAGCTCAGGACCAATCTTCCTCAAGAAAAAAGGGCAGGATTGGCATCAGATGTTAGCTCAGGGCTAGTCCTCCTCACACACAAAAAAATTCCTTTTGTGTCCCCTTTCGCAAGAAGTTCCTGGAAAATTATTCTCAGAAACGTAGAGATGAAGAGGGACTGGCCATCCAGCAGTGCCCCCTGGGGGGCAGGTTTCCAGTGAGCTGGGCACGCCATGGGAGGGGCAGTGAAGAGTGAGCAGATGGCAAGTCTAACAGAGGCAGTGGCCGGAGAGGACTAGACCTCATTTCTGCAGGTCCCCATGCTTCGAGAGTCTGTGAGACACTTGAAATCTGGCAACTATACCAACTCATTCTGTGTATAGAGCAGAAAAGGTTCTATACATACAAAGGATAGAGTTGCCAGTTTGTTTTTTTTTAACTAATTAGGTGTTTGATCATGCTGCTTCAGAAAGAACGTTGTAGAAGAATGATTGTGTTCACTTTCTAGGTCTGCAATATGCATCGCCGTGAGAATTGGCTGCCTGGATACAAGAATGAGCCTGAGATTAACACAGCTACCGAAGACGGAACATTACCCTGGGCCAAGCACTATTCTTGGTGCCTACAAGAACTCCATGATATGGTTATGGCCCCCATTATACACACAAGTGGGCTAACAAGTCCCTTAGCAAACCTGACTTTGGCTGCATTTACAGCAATAGGAAATTAAGTCTCTACTTTTTTCCCTTTAGAAAGACCTTGATTTCTGTGCTGCTGAAGAGTAAGGAACGGTATATGACTTTTTGTTTAAAACAAGGGTCTGCAAACTATAGCCAAACCGGCAGCTGCTTTCTAATTAACATCTTACTGGGACACAGCCACATCCACTTGTTTACGTGTCATCTATTGGCTGCTTTTCCACCTCAACTCAGGGTTTAACAGCTGCAAAGTTGAAAAGATTTACTCTGTCCGTACAAGAGCATTTGCTGACCTCTGGCTTAAAGCATTCATGAACCTTTGAATGGGCAAAGAAAGGTCTGTTTCAAGATAGGCAGTGTGGTCAAGACAAACGTCAAGAATGTAGGTACAGGAGTAGCACAGAGACTGGCTGGGGCCATGAGGAAGAGAAGCTGCCATCACTCAGGGCAGTCATGAGTGGTTCAACTTGGAATAAAGTTAATGTGTTGACTTTGGAGAAAGGGCTAGCCTTGTCTAGACATCTTGCCTGTAACACAGAAGAGCAACACCGAGAAGGATGCCCTAAGGTGAAAGTTGTGAGAGGCCTAGAAATTTGAGGGCACACAGAGGGCCTTTTGTGGAGGTGGGGAGGGGAGGGAAGGAAGGGTAAATCTTTAGATCATACGCTTTCAGAAGGGAACATCAGTGTAAGGACACGGGGCGGGCGGGGGGGTGGATCTGATGGAGCAGTCAATGAAATGTAAGGAGAGAACAGCTGGTTCACTAGAGTTATGTGATTAATAGACTATTCTCTTCTAGAATCTCTTCCCCCACCCACCCTCTAAATCCACTTTCTATCATCTGTCATTTACAGATGGGGATACATTCTGAGAAATATGTCCTTGTGTGAACACCATCGAGTGTACTTACACGAACCTAGATGGTATAGCCTACCATACACACAGGCTATATGGCACTAATATGAGACCAGTGTCTTATGTGGTCAGTCATCGACTGAAACATCGTTATGTAGTGCATGACTGTATTAACCCCAAACACTCAGCTTGAGTATTATGGCCTCCAGGAAGCCCTTGCCAGGCACCAACTCTGCACAGCCACAGCTTGTTCCAGGTTAATCAGGCTATTCCAGTTGTAGCATAGGCTGGCAAGTTGCCACATTGTCTTTTCAGCCCTTATTCCTTGGCAGAAGGCCAAGTGGGCATGGACCTCCCAGAATAAAGGTCTACACTTACCAGCTTCCTTTGCTGCAAGGTATGGCCAAGAGACTTCAATCTGGTCAACAAGCAGCAGTAGTGGTGTATAACAACTTGCAGCAAACCTTACCAGACAGCCAACACATGCCCTTTGTCCCTTTTTTTCTTTTTCCTTTCTGCTGGTTTGGAATGTGCAAGTGGCAGCTAAAGCTCAATCATCCATCTCTGTCCCTGAGAGCAAAGCAGCAAGATGGACATGTGGGTCCTGTGGCAGCAGACCCGCCATGCCTGGTCGGCTTCCCTCTGCACTCCTGTGCCTCAGAAAGAAATGTCTCTCACGAAGACCACTGTGTTTCCCCCGTTGTGTGAAGCTGCATTTCTCTCTCCCATTCCTATTACCACCCCAATTCCAACAGGCAAGTTCTCAAAGAGAGTGGGTGCTCAAAAACTGTGGACTGTTCACATCATGAGAGGCTTCCGTTCCCTTCAAACACCTGCATTCCTCTTTTCTATGATGTTTCAGGTGAAGTATTACAGAGGTTAGAATTTAGCCCAAAAGAACTCCAGAATCCTAGAAAGATTCTTAAAGTGCCTCTTACCCCCTGGGAAAAGGTTTTAAAAGTATTTGACAATTCACTTTTCTTTCAAAATTTTTAATGTCACATTCAACATATGGCTCTAACACAAAAAACGTATACAGAGGCATGTTATAAAACTCTCAATACCTACCCCCCAAAAAAGCATATTTAAAAAAACACCACTAACAATGTTCGATAGGAAATTTCAAGGGTTTCTTGAATTATGACTACACAAAAAGTTTAAATTCTAAATGAATCCAACTATTGCCAAGACCCTGAATTTCAGGAAACAAGGATGGCTCAGTAATCATCATGATCAGGTATTTCAACCTTCATTGTGGAACCATCGCTGCTCAGTGTTACTGTGTCAGCAATGTACGTTCTCAGCATCTCTATGTTATCACATATGCGGTTCACCTTGGGATAAGCAAGAAGCCTTTCTAGGGGTACACAAAACTCATTTCCAACACAAAAAGGTTTGGGAGAATTCACTATGTTAGTTTTCTCGGCTTCTGTGAAGGCCGGTCCAAGGAGTACGAACTCGGTTTTCTCGGCTTCTGTGAAGGCCGGTCCAAGGAGTCTGAACTCAGCTTTCTGGGCTTCTGTGAAGGCTGGTGGTCCAACAAACCTGTCTTTGAACTCAGTCTCTGAAGCGTCACTGTCTTCTGAATTATTAAATTCAGAGTCATCCATTGGTATCAGAATTCGAATAAATCTACGTCTCATGATGTAGACTTCTCGGTACACTTCATTAAGCACTACAAATTTACGGACTTTTTCTTGCTGTAAACTCGGATATGAGACTGTATAAAGCTGAAGGGAGGAAAAAACAACACTTAAGAATATAGGAAAATTTTCCAAACTATTAACAACATTTTACCACAGTAAGAATTAACTGCAGGGGCCGGCCCGGTGGCATAGCAGTTAAGTTCACACGTTCCGCTTCAGCGGCCCGGGGTTCACTGGTTCAGATCCTGGGCACTGACCTACTCACCACGCATCAAGCCATGCTGAGGCAGTGTCCCACACAGAGCTACAACTCCACAACTATACTATACAACTATGTACTGGGGCTTTGGGGAGAAAAAAGAAAAGAGGAAGATTGGCAACAGATGTTAGCGCAGGGCCAATCTTCCTCAAAAAAATAAATAAATAACTGCATATACATATTAACCATATGTACATTCATCAAACCTTACGAATCGAAAATGCCACGTTGTTAACAGGAGTCAACTATTGACACAGACATTAACTGATTTGCTTTCAGAATTCTAATGCACAAAGTCTCCCAGCCAAGTTTCCACCAATTCACACCAACCTTATTCCTACTTGATATTGGAAGGAAAAGGGTAAAAAAGAAAAACGTTAATTCAAAGGGAAAATTGTGTTTATTCTTCACCGTACCTCCTTAAACCAAAAGGGTCTGAGAGGCCTGGAGGCTCAGTTCCAAGTCATTTCCTGAGCCAAGCTGCAGAGGAACTGCTGCTGGCTTTCCTCTTTCCTCTTTCCTTCTGAGGATCCAAACAGATTACAAAAGCGGAGCTGCTGGCACAAACAGCTTGGAAGTATTCTAAGCAGACTCCAGCAGATTATTCTCTGTAATATGCTTTGAGACACGGCAAAAGGCCAGGCAGTCTCAAGGGCCGCTGTAGACCAATTCTGACAGCAGCTGGGGGGGCATGAATGATTCTCCTAGGGTCAACCTCAAAATAAGGTCATTCACACTTCTCTCTCCATTGGGGACTCTTATAAAAAGAGCTCACCGTCCTAATAAATATACTTCTTGCCTTGAGAGCTACCTCAGGAAGAATACTCACAAGTTTATAAGCATGTTCACCATCCTGCTCTGAAACGCACGATTCAGTTGCCTTTGCTTCATTTTTCCGGAAGATCCCTATCTGGGTACAATATCCAACGTTCTCAGCTCCTGCTGGTGGTTCCCCCACACCAGTAAACTCCACAGAGTAATTGTAGCGATTTGCCACATCTAAAGCCCTGAAATCAAAACGGGAAAAATAATTTTTCAAAACTTAGAGCTACTGTTAAATACATTAAGTGTCCCCCTTATCCACAGTTTTGCTTTCCATGGTTTCAGTTACCCATAGGCAACCATGGTCCAAAAATATGAAATGGAAAATTCCAGAAATAAACAATTCACAAGTTTTAAATTTGGTGATGAAATCGCACTCATGCCATCCTGCTCGATCCCGCCCAGGATTTGAATCATCCCTTTGTCTAGGGTATTCACACTGTCTATACTACCCCCCATTAGTCAGTAGCCATCTTGGTTATCAGATAAACTGTCTTGGTTATCAGATCAACTGTCTTGGTTATCAGATCAACTGTCTTGGTTATCAGATCAACTGTCTTGGTATCTCACTGCCTGTGTTCTAATAACCCTTATTTTATTTAATAATGGCCCCAAAACTCAAGAGTAGTGATACTGGCAATTTGGATATGCCAAAGAGAAGCTATAAAAGTGCTTCCTTTAAGTGAAAAGGTCAATTTCTCAACTTAATAAGAAAAATAATTCTATGCTGAGGTTGGTAAGATCTGCAGTAAGAACAAATCTTCTAGCCATGAAATTATCAAGCAGCTAAAAATTTCATGGTTTTGCTGTTCTACCTCAAACTGTAAAAGTTACAGCCACAATGTTTAGTTATTGGAAAGGCATTAAATTCGGGGGTGAAAGACAGAAGGTCAACAGTAGTTTAACACCCCTCATTTCTCAGAACGTATCCCCATGGTTAAGCGCCGCATGACTGTAAACAAAAACACTTTAAGAACTCACCAGGTCTGAAATTGCATTCTGTTCCACTCAAATTTGTGATCTAGATCTCTTAAGGCATTGTCCAGTGGAAACAGGGGATTGAATTCAGAGTTTGGTGTGCTGATGACTATCATGGTTGGAGAGAAGTATCCAAATACAACTTCAGGAAACCTGGCCAGATCTTCTGAATTCAAATGTTCTATTCTAAAATGGTAAATAAGAGAGATACAATAAAATCTAGCTTCACTTGCAAGAATTTCCTAATTGATTTAGCAAAACAATTTCTGTCTTTACATTGATTTATCCCTTCTTTGTATATATGTAATAGTGCTTAAATGGCCTAAAAACAATTCCCATCCTTCCCTTTGCCTGTGGTGTCCTCCTATCCAACTAAAGTCCTTTGCTGTGCTCTCTGGGCCTCACTGTCAATACCTCTTAAAAAAGGTATCTGAGCAGGTACCTCCCTGATATGATACACCAGTAAGGACACAATATCACTTCTATGGTATTCCTGTCAAAAATGCATACCCTGAATGTATAATGAGGAAATTGACACCCTACAAGATAATTAGCAGGTATTCCTCAGAAATATCAAGGACAAATAATGAAAGACTGAGCACACCTGTTCCAGATTAAAGGAGACCAAAGAGACATGACAACTAAATGCACTACAATCCTGGACCATTTTAAATGAGAGCTAAATATGAAAATATGAAAACAGCTATAAGAAGGACATTATTGGAATAACTAATTAATTTTGAGTATGGGTTATAGATTGGATAATAGTATTGTATCAATGTTAAATTTCCTGATATAATTATACCACGGTTATGTAAGAAAAAGTCCTTGTTCTTAGAAAATATATACTAGGGTATTTAGGGTAAAGGGATATGATGCCTCCAACTTTCAAATGGTTCAGATAAAAAATTTTCAAATAAATATATTTAGAGAAAAAGACAAAGTAAATGGAGTCAAATGTAAACAACTGGTGAATCTGGATGCAGGACATGAGAGTTTCTTGTACTATTCCTGTAGCTTTTCTGTAAATTTGCAACTATGTAAAAATTAAGTTACCCCAAAAAATGTGTCTGATAGTCTTGTCGGACATCCCATCTAAATCAATTTGCCTTAAAGAAACCAGATATCCATCAAAGTGCTTCACAGGGGCCTGAGCTTCAGACCAATCCACAAGCAAACTCTGGAGCCACTATGAATAAGAGGCAGGGAGACAATTTCCTTCCCCAGGCTTCGAGGACAAAACCTTATCACAACACTCCTCACGTGCCTCTGGTTTCTCTACTCCCACCCAGCTCCCCACACCCTCTAAGAAACCTGGGGCTCCCTCAGTAAGGTGGCAGCACCTCGTGACGAGTTAACAGGCTGAGTTAGAGTTAGCAGACCTGACCCACTCTCTGCTTCAATGCTGCACAAAGGTTTCCACATTCCAAGGGGGAAACTGGGGAAGGGAGATGGAAATTTGCAGGTCACCTGGCCCGGAGCTTGCCAGAGGGCCAACTGATTTGTAGCCAAGTGCCAGGGACTGAATGGGAAGTCTGCAGCACCAATAATAAAGATAGGTTCAAGTCTGCAAGGGGATGGCAAGCTCCCGGGAGCCCTGCCGGCGCTGAGACCGCAACATGCCTTTAACACCTGTTGTGGGCTTTGGCAGCAGGTCCCGGTAGAGACTGCCCATACACACTGAAGAACCAGATCAGCTGTCCCAGTGTAGGCAGCCACCTGGACCAGGGAACATATATTCCGATGCTACATGTTCATCTAACCCACCTATGTATCTTTGCCTTGCAGAGCAACAGAAGGTAGAAGCAATTTAAAGATAGAACCTTTGCCTGAAAAATGCAGTTTCTCAAGAGACAACATGAACTGACAGACTGAGATGCCATTTTAGGGCAAATATGCCTTCGAGCCTGTGCATCTCCCCATAAGCACCATTTCTCAGCAGGATGGTGATGGGAGGAAGCATCACGACCTTTCAACCAGCTATAGGAAGAAGCATAGAAGGTGAATTGAGGACCTGGACACTAGTCAAGAATGGTCTCCAACCTGTCAAATCTAGCAGCCTCTTCTATTTGGCTTCTTTGCTTCATCAGTGCAAATACTGCATGTCAAAACTTTAGTTACAGCTGTACTATACTTAAGGGAAAAGTACTGCTTTAAATCTATACATTAGAAAAGCTGAAAAATCAGTCAGCTGATAAGTATTCCAAGAAGTTAAGGAGAGAGAGCAAATAAAACTCAAATCCATAGAGGGAAGGAAATAAACAAAAATTCTAAAGGCAAAACACACACACACACTTGAAACCACATGACTCAGTATCCCACTCCCAGGTGAAATGACATGTGTTCGTGCAAAGCCTGTATGTGAATGTCTGTAACAGTTCTATTCATAATCGCCCCAAAGTGGAAACAACCCAAATATCCTTAAATGGGTTAAAGGATAAAAGGTGGCACATCCATACGTTGAACACAACTCAGGAACTAAACAGAACAAACTGGCACACAAGAAGTTGGATAAATCTCAAAGGCATTAACTGAGTGAAAGAGTCTCAAAATGTCACACACTATAGGATTATACTATCAGAATGTTCTCAAAATGGCCACAATGGGGTAGGAGTTGTCTTCGGTAATGGAACTGTTCTATGCCCTGATACTGGTAACGGTTACATTAAACTGTTAAAATCCACAGAACTGTACCTCTGCCCCAAAATATTACTTTTAATGTGTTATTTTTCAAAACTACTAAAAATAAAGAAAAATAAGGTTGGGAGAAATGTCTGCAATCTGTATCATGGTTAAAGGGCTAATTCCTCTAACATTAAAAAAAAAAAAAAAGCATATGAATCAGTAAGAAAAATGCCACAGACCCAATAGAAAAATTCATTAAGGATACACACAGTTCAGAGAATGAAAACCAATGTCTCTTGAGCAAGTGAAAAGTGTACCTTTGCTCAAGAGAAATATAAATTGAAGCTACACTGAGATTATCCTTCCTATCAGATCAAAGGTAAAAAAGCTGGGATAGGTCAAAGTTGGAAAAGATAGATGGTGAAGGGGAAGGTCAAGGGGAAGCAGACCCCCCCGCATGGCCGATAGGAGGGCACATCAGAACAACTGCTTGGGAGGGCAGTTCAGCAATGACTTGTGGTGGTCTCTACTAGTTGTCCACCAAAATCTATATGCTACCCTTCTTCCCTAGTAAGAGCTGTCACAGGCATATGGCTGTCCAGTTAGAGGATACATTTCCAGCCCTTTTCAAGCCAGCAGTGACTGTAAGCCTAAATTCTCATAAATAGAGTGGAAGAGATGTGAGCCTCCTGGGTCTGGGTCATAAAACATCTGTCATACATGCCTCTATGATTTTCCCCTCTCCCATGGACTGGAACAAAAATATGCCTGTGACCCAACTATGTGCATACAGATGGGTCTAACATTCCAGGGGATGGTAGAACAAGACAGAAGGAATTTGGTTCCTGAGTGACTTCGAGGAGCCAAGCCACTGCCAGTCATGGACCACTCAAATCAGATAAGAGAAATAAGGTTCTACTCTCTTTAAACCCCTATTTTGAGGCCTCTGTTCTATCAGCGCAGCCTTCACCATAACTAAAAGGACCATCAAAATTACAAATACACACATCCTTTGACTCAGCATTTTACTTCTAGGAATGTAAACTACAGATATAGTCACACACGCAAAAATGACATATATACAAAGCCATGTATTACAATAACAAAAGTAACATCAAGTCATCAAAAGTGCTCCTCAACATGGCACTAGATAAGCACGTTATGTTATTCATAGAGTGGGAAAATGTACAGCAATAAGAACGCAGAAGCACTTTAGGTCTGACGTGCAATCATCTCCAAGATACACTGCTAAGTAAGAAAAGCAAGGTCAGTATGTACATTACACTACCACTGATAAGCAATTTTCTTTACAAATAAGAATTCAGATTATGACAAATATATATTTAGGACACTAAATTTACTGAGCTAATTCATTCAGATTTTTCAGATGAATTTATATAGTAAGAATCAGTTTAATACTTACAATTCAATACATGTTATCAAGTCAAATCCACGCAAACGACTGTCTCTCTCCACAGCAGAGCCAACATACAAAGTAACCGTCAAATCCAGATCCCGGGGACTTAGATGGTTCCCCCAGGATGGAGATAGCTTATCCCTACGAAAGCATTTTTGTGTTAGAAAGGAACATCTGGACACAATAATTTACTTAGAAAATCTCAGCTACAGAACTGTGTGATCTTGATAATTATCTTCTACCTACACTGGTAAGTCTGACATGGCCAGTTTTCCATGACTTGATGTATTAAGCACCAGGTCAGAGGGTAACCTCTTCTCTCACAGGGAAATAACTGGCTAATGAGAACAAGAGTTCTGAATATTGGATATTGCTCTCATTTTTAATAGTTTCGGTCTCCCAGTTCACTCTGGATCAGTGATTTTTAACTTTTTGTTCTTTAGAAGAATATTCTTGAAACAATTTCTGGAAGTCTAATATATAAATCAAAGAGATTGGAGAGCTGCTCTGGTTCAAACTGGAGGAGGCCTGGGGCCTTTGCCCCAGTGCTCTGGTGCAATTTACATCCTCTTCTATAAGTCATCATGGTGTGTCCAGCATTAAAGTAATTACATTCCACCATTTGAAATTGAATTCCGATGCTTTGACTACCATAATTACTTAAGTGAGGCTATACTTTCTACATTGATATAAACAAAACATAGGTATTAGTCACAGTACGTACAGCCAATTAGTGTTATTTGGTGAGCTTGAGGCTCTCATAGTGCCGATCTTTTAAAACAAGTTGCATAACATAGACACTTCCTCTAAGTATAATTAATAGTACCACTAGTTTTAGATTAATGAGCAATTCTTTCAGGAAGTAGGTATTACCATGAGTAACGTAACCTAGATTCATTGATATCTACTCCAACAAGCAGTTCAGCGCGACTGTGGATTTTGAGCATCCATAAGAGCGTATTGTCACCGCATCCTAAGTCTGCAACCTGTAGATGAAATAGAATGTTAATATTCCAAAGACATTTACAGCCAGAAGTCAAATATGATCAAAATTTTTTGAGGGAGTATCAGAAATAAAACCATAATATAGTCATGTGTCACTTGCTTAACGATGGGAAATGTTCTGATAAATTTTAGATACTTAAATTCTAGATGCTTCAACTGAATACATGTGCTACAAAGATGTAAACACAGTGTATGAGTATAGAAACAGCAGTGGTGTAGTTAAACCAAGGAAAGCCTTCACACAGGAGTCTTAAGCAAGTCTTGAAAGTGACACAAACAAAAAAGACTTTCGTCTAGAAATTCAACTTACCAGCATCTGGTCTACATCCAGACCATCCAATCCATAGTTTAATAACCAGATATCTACTGCCAGATGTTTGTATGTTGTATGAAATCATGATTGTCCTCTGAAAACTAGCTGAGTAGGCTCATTATCATCTAATTATAAAGACTCATAATACCTATGTCCACAAGACTGGTCTGCCTGATGTTCTGACAAAACTCTCTAGAAATGTGCAACCTACAAGATCACATCCAATGGTAAAATGTCAAGATTTTCTTCACATTTGAAACTGGCAATGTTGAATTTTACCTGTGCTCCTGGTAAACAGGTTAAAGGAACCCAGCTGTGCCAGAACAGGCTTCCAGAAAGTACCATCTTCCCCCATTCTCAGAGACCTCCTAGTGCCTTGAGTGATTAGCTTAACTACTTATCCCACTGATCAGAGCAAAATTCTTGTTAAACCAAACTTTGGTCAAGCTTCTCTCCTTCCCTCAGGCCCCTGAACTTTGGACTGCCCTCAGTCTGAGGAAACAAGTAGCCTCTACTTAAGGATCCCTCCCAGAAAACAGGCTGGTCTCAGGGTCACACGGTCTACTACCCAATCACACCACCCTTTTATCCTACTTCTCTCACCCAGTTCTTTATAGCTTAGTTTACTCCTCTATTAAAAACTCCTCTCTAAAAATAGTTTTTGCCCAACTATTGAGAGGCATGGGGATCTTACGGTCACAGTGTTCGCCCTATTACAATAATCCTTTTCCCTCCTTACAATAATCTTTTTGAATAGTCTCTGCTTACTAAGTCCTTACTAAGATTTCATTTTTATTTGACAAAACATTTCATAAGACAGTCTTAACAATTAAACATTTGGAAAGAAATAGGTAGCTACCTTCTTGGTGTTATGTCGACTCACTAAATCTTTAACGAAGTGGTAACGCTGCTTGTATAATGGAGGGTCAAACTCGATTACCTTCTTGCTGAGGTCAAAATAACCATCAACCACACCATTGCACTGAAAGTTTACAAACAAAAAAAGTTAAGTGTTCTAAATCATGCATGACTTTAGGAATTAAATTAAAAAACAGCTTTATTTCTCCCAATCATTTTGTGGAACACACTGGCCCTCCAACCACCTCTGTCATTAGGTGGCACTGCATTTCCTCCACAGCTCATCTAACCCTCCTCTCATGTCTTTATTAAGTGAGAATCTGGCTTTATGCTTCCCATAGCTTAGAGTCAGCTGAAGAGAAAATTACTTACTAATGCATTTAATGAAATAATTTTAAGTCTCCTAGTCACAAGGGACCTTTGGCGGAGTGAACTGCCAAACCCTGGGATTCCAGGTAGGCAGGAGGCTGGAAACTTTTTGACAAAGACTCTCCTTGGCCAAACTTGAGTCCTCTTCTGACTAGGCCTCGACCTAGACCCTGTCCTAGACCCCCTTGGCCTGCCTAGCTCACTTTTAGCAAGAATCCTGCAAAATCAGTTTAGAGAGAACCCCACACCCTTGATATCTGATCAAACTCTGTATCTCACCAAATTCCTCATCCCCCCCCCACCCTTGATATCTGATCACTCTGGCCTGCCTTCAGCAAGAATTCTGTTAAATCTATTTAGCAGGAATCCCCATACCCTTAACATCTCCTCTCTTCTATCCACTGACCCCTCACTCTCCTCATAGGCTCTAAATCCCCAGCTGTCTTTGTTGTATTTGTGGAGTTGAGCCCAGTCTCTCTCCCCTATTGCAATGTTTTTATCGCAAGTACATTCTGCTTCTCAAAATAACAACGATAAAAATAAAAACACTTATTTCACTTTATATACACCAAATGTGGAATTTCCTCTATATATAGCCTTGAGAGAAATATACACCTCAAGAAATGCTAGGAACTAAATGTGATGGATTTTGCTTGTAATTACACCACAGTACATCACCCGGCTAACTCTTGAGAGTCATACAAGGGGGTTAAGAAGGGAAGCATCACCTTGGCACTTTCTTCCATTTTGTTTCCAAGTTTTGTTGAGACAAAAATGCGGATGTATCCTTCAAGCTCTAGGAATCAGCAACGACTCAGCTGGAAATATAAAATACTACTTTTTATAAAGAGAAGGAGCCTGGACAAAACAGCCGCCTAGATCAACAGGGAAAAGAGAGCGAGCGAGTTTCTCTTTACGTTACCATTTAATCCACAGAATTTATTCAGTAAGTATTTTTTCAGACAACAGCAAACAGGCTCAGAAAGCCTAAGTAAATTTTCACAATGCCAAACCCAGCTAAATACAATAACACCCATTCTTTCCTTTTACTATTAGTTTTATTTGCTATAAACTGAACAACCCTCTCAGTTGTGACTATTTCATTAACTCCCTCAACCTCATTTAAACTGCTTTCAACTATTCGTTCACACATGATCAAAATGAAATTTCGAGGGGAAAAAAGTGTCCAAGTCATTGGTAAGCTAAAGATGCTCCAACACCTATTCAATTCACTGATGGACGTGAATTTAAATTTCGGTTCGCTATTGCACACTTGCCTCTATCAACTAGAAAGTCTAAAATGTAAGCAACATGACAATCACCTAACTTCTGAGTTATATTCTCTAACTCGTATTCCAAAACCCCCCTCAAGCGAGCCAGCATTACGTACTCCCAGAGCATGAGTCGTCGCATCTATTACCTTCGAGTAAGAAGCACGTCCAAATGTAACAGAAGGGCAAAGCGAAGGGCAAAGCGAAGGGCAAAGCGGAGACCAGCGGAGACCAGCGGAGACTAGCGGATTCCGCGGAGCCGCAGCCTTATTTAGCTCCGGGCCCCGCCCCCGCCGCCCGCGCACGCGCGCACGCCCTCCCGACATGACGTTACCAGCCCGTGTCCACACCCGCGCCGGCCACACCTGCGCCGCCGGCAGTCCTGCGGCGCGCCCTTATCCTCCGCCCGCGGCGCGCCGCGCCCACTCGGCGCCTGGCCCCATCCCTCTGGGCTCCAGGCTCCGAGGCGTCGGTTTTGTGTCTCTTAACGGCCTGTGGCGCATGCCCCGAAGGTATTTTCTAGGTCTTCGTCCGAACCTTGGCGGGACCACTCTCCCCGCCACATCCCCCACTCGCGCGGGGCTGCGAGCCGCCGCAGCCGGGCGAGAGCCGCGACTGTTGGACGGAGGCAGCGCTGCGCCAGCGCGGCCGCGGGCCGCGGGCTCGGGCGGCTGTTGGGTTCGTGGCTCTCCCCGAGCGCAGCGAAGGCCCCGAAACGGCCCCGGCCAATGGGAGCGGCAAGAGGAGGGAGCGGGCTGCGCGCGAGCCGGCCGGCGGCTGGTGTACGAATCAGCGCCGCTCCGATGCCCGGAACAATCTACGGGGCCCTAAGGGGACTCTGGGCTGAGTAATGTCAGTCCAGTAACATTTAAACTCTGAGAAAAATTGTTTCAGCCCCCAAACCTCCAATTGGTATACTATTTCCACATTCTGGGGGCGCAACTATCTGATCTCTTAGGAAAGTGACTGTATCATGTCCCCCTTCCCTGGCAGAGATTTCTTTCTTGTATGTGATGGAAGTGTTGAAGGAGGGGGAGAGGAGAAGCGAAGTGCCTTCTTTGGGGGGAAAAAAAAATTTAGTCCTATTTTAGAAGACTAAAAAGCTGGTGTTTACTAATGAATTAATAACCCATTAATATACCATAAATAATATATCGGAACTGTATTTTCAAACACTTAATACCTAATATATGCAAAGCACAGTGCTAACAGCTTTGGGGTATCACAAAGATAAGTCATACAGTTTTTGGTTTGGTATTTTGAGGAATCTAGTCTCAGAAAAAAGTATGTAAGTCAAGGTAAGTTTCACCCCTTGAGAGGTTCCTGTTGGCCTGGTGAAACTGCAGTTTTAACAGACTGTCTTCATTAAAGGAGCATATTCCTTATTTAAACAGAAGCTTTAAGCATTAATAAATGAATTCCAGGGGCTGGCCGGCTGGCGTAGGGTTAAGTGAGCTCGCTTCTCTGGGGCAGCCTGGGGTTCGGATCCCCAGCGCGTCAGGATGCACCGCTTGTCAAGCCATGCTGTTGTGGCAGCATCCCGTATAAAGTGGAGGAAGATGGGCACGGATGTAAGCCCAGGGCCAATCTTTCTCAGCAAAAAGAGAAGGATTGGCGACAGATGTTAGCTCAGAGCTAATCTTCCTCACAAAAAATGAATGAATGAATGAATGAATGAATGAATGAATGAATGAATGAATGAATTCCACTTCTGGGTATTTTTAAATTCATTAAACAAGGAGGCCAATAGACCGAGGTAGCTCTGATGGCTTGGCAGCCTATGTAAGCAAACTGAAACCTAAGCCAGCAAATGCCTCAAAGTTAAGAAATGGAAACCTAAGGACAACCAGTCAGCAAACTAGGCTTTCCCAAATAAGGCACCTGCTTAAGCGATAGCCCATCAAATATTTTCCTCTCTTTGCTTTGGCATCTTCTTTATAAAAGTCTCTCCTCTGGTTCCTGACAGTGGTTAGGAGCTATCCAATCTGAACTGATGTTTGCTCAAACTCTTCAAGTTTACCTGTTAACAGTATATACTCAAAAGAATTGAAAGCAGAGAATGGAACAGATATTTATACTCTAATGTTCACAGCAGCATTATTGAGAATAGCAAAAGGTCGAAACAATGTCCATCATTGGATAAATGGATAAACAAAAGTGGTGTATACATACAATGAAATATTATTCAGCCTTTAAAAGGAATGAAATTCTGACACACTACAGCATGGATGAACCTTGAAGACACTGAAGTAAACGAAGTAAACCAGTCACAAAAGGACAAATATTGTATTGTTGGGAGAGGAGGAAAAATAATTTTCAGTAGCGCACTTTTGGGGCTATCAGATTCTAGTCCTCTTCATGGTCTTTGAGGTTTTGTTATCTACCTGTAAACTGGACTGGATCCTGAATTCTTCTAGTTTTCTCCAATATCTGACTATCTAAAGTAACGTTTCCAGTTTTCTCCCACACTTCTGACTGCCTTTTTCCCAAAGCCCCTGAAAACCGAAGCTGGATGACTTGATATAAACTTCAGAGAGATCACTGCAACCGCTCATGAAGGGACAACCTTTGTGCCTTTTGCTGTGTGGGCTACTCAGAGAATTCACTGGAACACTTTATGACATCACCAGAGACATTCAAGCCACAAACCGGAAAATCGATCAGATTGCCACTGCCTTCTCACTCCAACTGAAGATGCTTCAAGTTCAACATCTAGAAATCTTCTCAACTAACTGCCCTCTGGACTCAAGCTGAGTTTATAGTCTTTTCTAACCATTAACCTTTGTTTTCTTTTGTTTCCGTAGAAATGCCTCTTATTAAATACTTGATTGCTTGTACCATATAGGCCTAACTTTGGGGGCCCACCTGCACTACTGCCTCCTGAGATGAGAGACAATTCTTTTAACTTAACTGACCTATTCTCAGAATTCAATGATTGGTTCAATCAGATATAAAACAATCTACCAACTCAGCTTCTGGACCATGAAACTTCTTGGGGAAGTTTCAAAGGCAGGAATGAAGGGGAACAGAATATGCCCCCCCGGAATATGCCTCTTTGGCGTAAGGATTATTTTAAGCTGATTATTTAAAGAAACAGCAGACACAGAGGAATCTCTCAAAACACAGTAGAAGTTACACTTGTACTTCTACTTGTGTAGAAATTGTAAGGGAAATTTACACTTATAAAGGAAATCTTTGTTTGTAAGGGTATCTCCCTCTCTATCCCAGGCAGAGAAAGATGACTAACTCACAAGAAATCATATCAATGGAGAAGACAGTGATTTAAATCTGCAAAACTACCTTACCTTTGTTTACCTGGTAACCTCCCATAACTGGCCTCGTCCCACCCCCACCCCAACATCTTTCTTCTGTCTTTACTGAAGATGGTATTTAAGGTGGTGGCTTGGGCCTTCTTGGGGAGTTATTCATTCTTCCTGGGTATCTCGCATGTACACATGAGGCATATGTGTTAATAAACTTCCCTTTTTTCTCTTGTTAATCTGTCTTTTGTTACAGGAAGTCTCAGGCAAGAACTTAGAACGGTAGAGGGAAAATTATTTTTCCTTTCTTCAGTATGATTCCATTTATATGAGATACCTAGAGTAGTCACATTTATAGAGACAGAAAGTAAAATGGTGGTTGCCAAGGTCTGGGGGGAGGAGGGAATGGGAGATATTGTTTAATGGTGGTGATGGTTGCACAACAATGTGAAAGTACTTAATGCCCCTGAACTTACACTTTTCTTTATTTTTTATTTTTTTGTGAGATCAGCCCTGTGCTAACATCTGCCAATCCTTCTCTTTTTTTGCTGAGGAAGACTGGCCATGGGCTAACATCCGTGCCCATCTTCCTCCACTTTATATGGGACGCCGCCACAGCATGGCTTGCCAAGCGTGTGTCGGTGTGCGCCCGGGATCTGAACCGGCGAACTCCGGGCAGCCGCAGTGGAGCACGCACTTAACCACTTGCGCCACCGGGCTGGCCCCTGAACTTACACTTAAAAATGGTGTTTTATGTATATTTGACCACAATTTAAAAATTTTTAAAGAAATTTTTTTAAAGTTATTAAGTGATGTGTACAGGATTCCTGTATCTAGAGTTTTGCCTCACCTGCTAGTTGGTTCGTTTATGAACTTGAATTCTCATGTCCAGCTCCCTCTCCAAATTTGCGTATTTCATCATTCCCCTGGCCTCCTACTCTTCTCAGAGCCTGAAAATCATCCTTGGGTCTATCCATTTCCGCCCTTCCCACATTTGGACAATCACCAAATATTGACCTTTTCAAGCTGTCAGTTGCATCTGTCCCTTCCCACAAGGTGAGCTAAACCGTGAGCTTACCCCGTCACCTCATTTTCTCAGCACACCTAATCTTAACCTTCCTCCACCAGGTTCTAAGTCCACTGAGATACAGACCATGTTACACGTTTTTAGAATGAGTTTTAAATCAAATAGACCTTAAATCCTGATTTGACTATTTGACTGATTTGACTCTAACCTTTGGAAATTTATTTACCCTCTCTGAGAGTCAGTTTTTTCAGTGGAAAAATGAGAATTAAATCAGATTGCCCATTCAATAACTATGTATGGTGTACCTATTATGGACCAAGTACTGGTTTGAGTGAAAAAGACAGATAAAGGTCCTTCTCTTAAGGCTCTTCTCATCCAGCAGATGTAGGGGTCTGCCATGCAATAAGTGACCAAGAGTTATCCTGCATGCCAGCTTGAACCTGATGCTCAAAATAGGATGAAATATTTGGAGGTCTTAGGAGAAGGGGATTGTATTTTGCATGTAAAAGGGATGTAAACAGTTTGTGGCCAGAAGGAAGATTGTGACAGACTAAGATGCACAAATTCTTTGACACTCCTGTTGAGAAGTGGAGACTATTTCTTCCCCTTTTGAATCTGGATGGGTTTTGTGATTTCACCAACGAATAGAATACTGTGGGGGATCAGAATTTGCCACCGAAGAGACACCAAAGATGTCTCTTTGGCTTGATTATCTTTAAGAACAAAAGACTCAGTAAGAAACTTTGACCCTCTCCCTAACTACCTAAAAGATTTTAAGATAGAAGGCCTGTTTCAGGAAGGAGCTAATACCATAGGTAACTATAGTATTAGACAGGCAGGAACCTAGCAAGGCCCATTTTATCAAAGTCCTTTCTCGGTTCTGGTTGTCTATAGAGGGCCCAACAAACATTTGTTACCAAACATTTGCTTTTCCATCTCCATGTGAAGTGCCTTCCTTCCCTTTGAAGTCCCAAAACACCACCCCCAACACCCTCCTTTGTCTTTAGCTGAAGATGGTGGCTTCAGCCATTTTGGCAGG